TATAATATATAACATATATACATACACACATGTATATACACATAGGTTTTATTTTTATTTTATGTTTATATTTATATGCCTATGTCTGTGCATTACACATGTGCCTGGTGTCCCTGGAGGCCAGAAGAGGGTCTGGAGTTAACAGATAGTTGTGAGGCCACTACTGTGTGTTAGGAATCAAACCTGTGTCCTCTGGAAGAACAGCAAGTACTCCTAACCACTGAGCTGTCTGTCTCCCCAGTCCTCAATTATATTTTTAACTGAGCCATAAGATAATAGGTTTCCTGGAGCACAATCTGAGCTCCTCAGCGCTCGGGAGGCAGAGGCAGGTGATCTCTGTGAATTCAAGGCCAGCCTGGTTTACAAGAGCTAGTTCCAGGACACACTCCAAAACTACAAAGAGAAACCCTGTCTCAAAAATCAAAAACAAAAAGGAAAAGATAGTTGGTTTCCATATGGCTTTTCATACACCTTCCGTTTTGGTTAACCCTACTGTGGTGGATTGAGTAAGAATGGTCCCCATAGGCTCACACATTTGAGTGCTTTCATCAGGGAGTGGCACTACTTAAGAAGGATTAGGAGGTGTGGCCTTATTGAAGGAGGTGTGTTACTGGGGGTGGACTTTGAGATTTCAAAAGTCAAAGCCAGGCTCTGCTTTGTTCTCTTCCTGCTGCCTACAGATCCAGATGTAGAACTCTCAACTACTTCTCCAGTACCATGTCTCCCTGCATGCCGCCATGTTTCTCTCCCTGATGATAATAGATTAAACCTCAGAAACTATAGCAAGCCACAACTAAATACTTTCTTTTATAAGAGTTTCCATGGTTATGGTGCCTCTTCACAGCAATAGAACAGTTTCTAAGACACCTACCCTTTACACCCTTGCTTCACCCATCCTTCACCCCTCCCTGCTAAACCTTTCCACCCCCAGTATTCTCCCTCTCTGCTTTTTTTAAACCTATGTTCTGCTGTCTCCCTCCCTTTACTCCCGCAATGTATCCTTTCTAGTTCCCTGGCTTTCACAGTTGCTCCAAGTTAAAGCACAAAACAAAGAACTTGAAGCTAGTACCCACATTTGTGAGAGAGCAAACAGTCTTTCTGAGCCTGGATTACCCCACTCACTGTAATTTGTTTTTCTAGTTTCATCTACTTTGCTACAAATTTGCTTTCATTTTTCTTTACAGATAAATAAAATTACATTGTGTATAGGTGTCATGTTTTCCTTACCCATCCCTCAGTTGATGGGCACATTAAGGTTGATTCCTACCTGTTGTAAATAAAGCAGCAGTGAACGTGGGTGCTCAAGAGTCTGTAGAAGGATGTAAAGACCCCAGGAGTGTGAAAGACAGGTCACACAGTAGTTTCCCTTCTAAGTTTTTGAGGATTCTACAGACAGATTTCCAAGTGGCTACACAGTTAATACTACTGCCAGCAGTGTGTAGACTCCCTCTTTCCTCACACCCACAATAGCATTTGTTGGCATCTGTCTCCTTGGTGAGTACCCTGAGAGAGGCGAGATGGGCTCTCAATGTAGTTTTAATCTGTATTTCTCTGGTAGCTCAGAGACATAAAACCTTTTTATTAAAAAGGTTTACTAGCCCTTTGTATTTCTTCCTTTGAGAACCTTCTCTTCAGCTCCATTACCTATTTTATTATTTATTTATTTATTACTGAGTTTTTGTTTTTTTAGATAGGGTTTATTTAGCTTTGGCTGTCCTAGAACTCACTGTGTACACTAGGGTGGTCTTGAACTCACTGAGATTCCCTTGCTTTGAGCTCAATTTTCAATTGAGTGGATTGTTTTCTTGGTGTTTAAGTTTTTTGAGCCCTTTATTATATTCTAGACACTAATCCTCTGTTGAATGTTGTGTTAGTTAGGGTTTCTGTTGCTGTGAAGAGACACCATGAACCGTGTAAATCTTATAAAGGAGAACGTTTAATTGAGTGGTTTATAGTTTCAGAGGTTTAGTCCATTATCATCATGGTGGAACATGGCGGCACGCAGGCAGACATGGTGTTGGAACTAGAGCTGAGAATTCTACATCTTGATCACAACAGGAAGTGAACTGTATCACTGGGCATCACTTGAGCATAGGAGACCACAAAGTCCATCCCAGCAGTGGCACACTTCCTCCATACCATACCCTCTCCAACAAAGTCACTCCTCCTAATAGTGCCACTCCTATGGGGCCAATTACATTCAAACCACCACAGATGTATAGCTGGTAAAGATTGTCTCCTATTCTGTAGGCTGCCTCTTTCCTTGATTAACAGCATGAGACCCCATCTGTCAATTGTTCGTCTTATTTCCTGTGCCGCTGGAGTCCTTATTTAGAAAACCTGCCTGTGCCTGAAGTTGAGGCACATCCCTTACCTTTTCCTCTAGCAGTTTCAGGGTATCAGATCTTATGTTGAGGTTTCTGATTCATTTGGAGTTGAGTTTTGTTCAGGGTGAGAAATAAAGATTTAGTATCATTTTTATGCATGTTGAAATTCTTTATAACTTGAGTGCATTGGGCAGCTGCCACATTGTCTTCCAGGAGTATCTCTCTAAATTCATTCTTTCCCTAAGAGAATATTTGCCACTTGGACCAACAGAGGCAGTTCTCTGTAATGGAGCTCTGGTTTCTTGTGCCGGGTTAGTGCCTCAGCGTGTCTGACTATCTCTGTGAGGACAGAGAAGCTAGCAAGGGGTGTGACATAGGACTGGGATGGAATGATGGCAAGAGGTGAGAACACAGCTAAGAAGCTGAGTCTAGATTGATGATAGAGCCTTGTGAGCCTAACCCTGAACAGATAATAAAGGATATACAAATTAAACCAGAGAAATAAACATCTATAATCAACAATGAGTTTGAAGCAATAATAAAAAGTCTCCCAATTTAAAAAAAAATCTAGCACTAGAAGGATTGACAACAGAATTCTACTAGAACTTCAGAGAACAGTTAACACCAATACTCTTCAAATTATCCCATAAAATAGAAAAGGGGGAGGCCTCCATATCCTATTTGTGACTCCAGTATTGCTGTGACACCAGAACCAGGAAAAGATACAACAGAAAGGAAATTACAGACCGATTTCCCTAGTGAGCACAGATACAAAACACTTGTAAACCTAATTCAAAATCACATGAAAAGATAATCTATTGTGACCAAATTAACTTCATTCCAGAGATTGATTATATATATAAATCAATAAATGTAATTGAGCACATGAATGAACTCAGAGATTGAAATAACACGATAATCTCAATAGATTCAGAAAAGGCCCTTGAACAAAATCCAGAAGCTCTTCATGATAAAAGTCATGGAAAGGTTGGGATAGAGGGAACCTCAACATGATATACAGCAAACCCATAGCCAACATTATACAGAATGGAGAAACACTTAAAGCATCTACACCAAAAGTAGGAGCAAGATTTCAATATTGCTTGAAATCGTAGCTAATGACAACAGGAGGAGAAAAAGGATAAATAAGAAAAGAAGTCAAAGCACATCTATTTGCAGATGACGTGATTCTATGCTATGAGACTCTAAGGACTCCAGCAAAAGCCTGTTAGAGCTGATACACATTTCAGCAAAGTGGCAGGATAAAAAATTAAAACACAAACATTAGGAATCTTCTTATATACTAATGACAGACAGACTGGAAAAAAAATCAGGGAAACAATTCAATTCAACACACACATACAGACACACACACTACATGGATATAAATTTAAAGACCATTACAATGAAGACATTAAGATACTGCAAAAAGAAACTGAAGGATACACCAGAAGATAGAAAGAACTCCCATACTCATGGATCAGAATAATCTTGTGAAAATGGCTTCTCTACCAAAAGCAACCTACAGATTCGAGGCAATCCTCATCAAAACTTGAATGTAATTCTTCAGGGACTTGAAAAAATAAAAATGTAAAAATATATATAGAAAGACAAAGTCCAAGGTTCAATCCTTAGTAACCATCCCACATACACACCCAATGAATAGTAGTCTAACATGTACTTTCCCAGGGAACCCCGCTCCTCCTTCCTTGTGCTGATGGCAACAGCTGACTCCAGAAAATCTCATTCCATCTATTTCTGCTCCCATCCTGCACTGGGACCACAGATCCAGGCAAGATACTTCCTCGCTTGCTAAGTGAGCACTGTTCCCTCAGAAGAGGGGACATCTACTCATCTACTCCATTGAACCAGCTCCCACCCCAGAGTGCACAGCAGGGTCCAGTTTCTTAGCACCCACGGCCTCCTCGGATAGTTGTGCCCCCACTCCTTAGATCTTTTCAGCTGACTTCTTCCCAAGGGTGTTGGGATTTGAGCACAAACTGGCCAGAGTCAGACTTGTCAGCTTTGCTTTCCATGTGTGTCCTTCTCCACTGCCCATTCTTGCAGAAGGCAAAAACGAGATGCTGATGATGGTTGCTTTTGAGGGAATTCAATAATAGCTTTCTCTATCTCTGAATGTGATTCTCCATCAACATGCTGTTAATAATTAATACAGCAATATCTATCCCACAAATATCCATAATTGCTAGGTTGCAGTGAGGTCTAAAGACAATGTGTATCCAGTCCCAGACACATCAGTGATATCTATGAAATGGTGGTTATTATTGATGCTGTGAATTTGCTCCAGCTCTGGAGTCAGACAGCCCAGAGTTGAAGCTGTAGCCCTGGATGTGCAAGGCCGAGTAACCCAGGTAAATCACAAGCCCTCAATGACCAGTTCCCACCTCACATGGCTGTGGAGATCTGATGCTGAGTTCCTGCCGAGCGTTGTGCTCATCACGGTGCACCAGGCTTTGGCACCACAGGAACTGCCACTCTGGGGCCCTTCCCGTTATGCTGGTCCTGGATGTCACACACTATCTTCTTGCTAAGGTTCTCCACACCCTTTTCTCCCTTTTGCGGTATGTACAATTTTTAAATTAAGAAATCTATTTGGAAGAATTCCACTGGACTCTTTCCCTCTGCTCCTCGGCATGTCTATTTTGATTGCTCTCTAGGTCATGGTCTTTGGCATCACTCTAGTTCAGGGCATTCTTGACGCAAGCCTATTACAAAGATGCAGCACATTCAGTGACTTGGAAGCTCTCTGTTCAATAACAGCCATGCCCTTGATTACAGTCATGATACTTGATTCACATCTGTGGCTGCTTTTTCCCAAGAGTCCATCCGTGCTCTTGAGCCACCAGCAGTGTCAGTGGTGGCCCGCCTCCTTTCTGTTCCCTCAACAGCACCTTTCAGGGCACGTGGTCTCCGCTCACCGCGACATGTCCCATCTCATCTGTTGCCCAGGGGCTCTTTCTTCTGCTTCTGTTCCTTCTGTTTCTCTGTAGTTCCCCTTAGTTTTGAAGCTGTAATAACATGATTTAAATTTTGTACTATTTCTCACACTCCAGTTCCTAAAATAAGACTATACTAGCTAGCAGAAATATCTAAGTACAAATATGCAATAATTATGTTTTTATAGCCCAAAGTTTGATGCCCCCCCCATTTTGTCTTGTTTTTGTTCTTTACAGACAGGAACTCAATTTTTAGGTCAGGCTGACCTTGAATTTGTGGTCCCTCTGTCTCAGCCTCCTGAGTACTGGGATTATAAGTATGTACCATTATGCCCAGTTTAGTTAAGTTTTCAAAAGTTATATTTTGCTTCAAATATGCCAGGAGAGAAAACTGCTCCCCATAGTGAATCCCGTTGAAAAGGATGCTTGGCCCTAGCTTGTGCCGATGCATAGAAGCATGAGAACGTTGATGGACCTGATTTACAGCCACTGGGATTCTCACTCGGAAGCGTTTATGAGGATCAGAACTACACACTCAAAAGATTCCAGGTCTGCTGGGCATAGCTTTCAAGATGGCAATGTAGGGGTTATGGGCAGAGAGTAGGTAGAAGAGGGCTTGCCTAGCATGTGTGAAGTCCTAGGTTTGATCTCAGGCACCATACATCACACCATACACTGTAAAATGCAGAGGGAATAATATAGGTGACCTTGGATTTGGTAAAGAAGTGTTAGGCACAATGTCAAAGCCATAATCTATGAAATACATGATTGACAAGATGAGCTTTACTAAAATTAAAAATGTATGCTTTCATAAAGATGTTATAAAATGAGAAGACATTTGCAGAAAACATCTGAAAATATCTATAAAATGACTAATGTGTTCTCTATATAGCTGTTCAAAGCATAAAAGACTCTTCCAATAGGAAAGTAACAGCCTGAGGAGCAACAGGGCAGAAGACGTCTGTGAATGTGAAGGACACTGTCCCTACTCAGCCCTGCTGCAGTCAGTCACTCTGGCTACCGTGGGAAGCACCACACCCCAAGCACATGCGCTCTGGATTTACTGGGCATTACAACAGACATAACACTTACCTTTAGTGGGTGTTAGTTAATGCCTCTCTCCAAGTTTTCTTTGAAGCTATTGATAGTAAGTATAAAAGATTATACCTTAATTTGGTTAGTTATTTATACACAGTATCATCTTGTGAAAAAAGTTATTAAATAATAATTATCAAATAAATAATTAAGTAATAAAGAGAAAAAAGAGCAAAAGACCTGATGCCAACCTGGTCTGACAGGGCGTACATACAGAAAGTATGCATACACAATTTTTATTAGGTAGCCAGAAACTCACACTCTGTCACTCTAGTTTCAGAACAGCCATCATCCCAAACACTGGAAACACCAAATGCATGGGGATGGGGAATAACAAGAACTTCTCAGTGGAGGGAGTGCAAAGAAATACCCATATTAGAAGATAGCGTGGCCATTTCTTTCTTTTTCTTTTTATTATTGATTTTTATTGAGCTCTACATTTTTTCTGCTCCCCTCTCTACCTCTCCCCTCCCCACTTCAACCCTCTCCCAAGGTCCCCATGCTTCTAATTTACTCAGGAGTTCATGTCTTTATCTACTTTCTACTTCCCATGTAGATTAGATCTATGTAAGTCTCTCTTTGTGTCCTCATTGTTGTCTAAGTTCTCTGGGATTGTGGTTTGTAGGCTGGTTCTCTTTGTTTTATGTTTAAAAAACACCTATGAGTGAGTTCATGTGATAATTGTTTTTCTGTGTCTGGGTTACCTCACTCAAAATAATGCTTTCTAGCTCCATCCATTTGCCTGCAAAATCAAGATGTTGTTATTTTTTTTCTGCTGTGTAGTACTCCATTGTGTAAATGTCCCACATTTTCCTTACCCATTCTTCAGTCGAGGGGCATTTAGATTGTTTCCAGGTTCTGGCTATGACAAACAATGCTGCTATGAACATAGTTGAACACATGTCCTTGTGACACGATTGAGCATTCTTTGGATATATACCCAAAAGTGGTATTACTGGGTCTTGAGGAAGGTTGTTTCCTAATTTTCTGAGAAATCGCCACACTGACATCCAAAGGGGTTGTACCAGCTTGCATTCCCACCACCACACACAAATAAATATTTTTTAATCTAATCTTAATAGTAATTAGCACTCACCATTGAATAAGAAAATCTATGGGAAGAACCTGGGGCAGGTAATTCAGTGGTAGAGTGCCTGTCTAGCATGCACAAGGCCCTGCATCAATATCCAGCACAGCAAAAACCTGGAAAAAAAGTCTGGGAACTTTCATTAAAAATATATCCTTGGCCAGGTAGCACACGCCATTAATCCCAGGAGGCAGAGGCAGGCAGATCTCTGTGAGTTCAAGGCCAGAGTTACAGGACAGCCAGGGCTACACAGAGATTCACTGTCTCTAAAATAAAAACAAGTAAACAACAACAACACACACACATACACGCGCATGCACACACACACACACACACACACACACACACACACTCACAGTGGAATGGACTTCAAACTATGCTTCCATTTTATTTTAGTGGCTCATACATTTTCTTAATCAAGTGACTGCTTTGAAAGTCTACCATGACTAATTAAAATGTATCTTGTAGTCAATGACATTATTTATTCAATTTTCACAGTAATTTATAAAATTACATACTCCATACAGATGAGGAGAAATGGGGACAGAAAGATTTATAAAACAGCTCCCAGGGGGGCTAGAGAAATGGCTCAGAGGTAAAGAGCACTGGCTGCTCTTCCAGAGGTCCTGAGTTCAATTCCCAGCAATCACATGGTGGCTCGCAACCATCTGTAATAAGATCTGGTGTCCTCTTCTTTACTGCAGGATACATGCAGGAAGAACCCTGTATACATAATAAATAAAGATCTTAAAAAAAAAAACAACAGTTCCCAGTGTATAAAGAACCTCAGAGCGGGGACGGGAATTCAAGGACAGTGTGACTCTAGGGCCACACTCTGGGCATGACGGCACTGAACCTCTTTAGAAAACTGTATGCTGATCTGATTGGCTGTGGTTATCATAAACTGCCATGCTGCTTAGCTCATAAAATCCATCTTGAGCTACAATGTTAAGGAAGGAGGTAGTGGGGCAGCTGGTCCAATGAGCATGTGATAAAGGGGTGGAGTCCCCCTGCCAATCTTCATCCTGGTGACAGAGCCTTGGCTCTGTGATGAAGATAAGGCCACTATCTTTCCCTCTTGAGCTCTACTGTGATTTTGTTTGTTTTTACATTTATTTTTATTTTATGAATATGAATGTTTATCTTGCATGTATGTCTGTGTGCCATGTACATGCCTGGTGCCTGTAGTAGCCAAAATAGGGCACTGGATCCCTGGCACTGGAGTTATAGATGGTTGTGAGCCTCCATGTGGATGCTGGCTAGAACCTGGATCTGCAAGAGCAACCAGTGCCCCCAGCTGCAGAGCCATCTCTCCAGCCCCTCAACTATGATTTTACCCATCAAGACCCCTTGAGCCTTTTCAGCCTGCAGGACCAAGCTGGGTGACGTCTCACCCAAGACAGTCCTACCCTGAGCATCAGAAGGTCACTTCTCAGAAGTGGACTGCCAAAGTGTTTTAAATGAGGAAAAGAACTGTCCCTGATAAAAACAAGGAAATTACTCAACTGCAGTTAAGACATCGTCCTGAGGTACAACTCAGCTAGTCCTGCTGGAAACGTCACTCTTCTGAGGCATCTGCAGAGACAGCCAGTCCAGGCAGGCAGCCTGCAGCAGCATCTCTGGAGTGAGATTGCGTTTTAACAAATAAAGCTTGTCTGAAGATGAGAGGGAGCTAAGCCACTAGAGGCCAGGCAGTGGTGGCACACACCTTTAATCCCAGGACTTGGGAGACAGAGGCAGAGGGATCTCTGTTAGTTCAAGGTCACCTTGGACTACACAAGATTGAATCTGTCTAAAAGAGAAACAGAACTCACACAAAGGTGATCCCAGCACTTGGGATCCCATGCCTTTAATCCCAGCACTAGTGGGGTGGAGACAGGAGTGATATGGCTGGGTAGGGTGAGGAATAAAAGGCAGGAGAAGACAGGAGGGCAGAGCTGTCTGAGGTTTGGTGGAGAGAGATGCAGTCTGGAGATGCAGTCGGAGGACAGACTCACCCCTTTGGTCTGAGCATTGGCTTAAGTGGCTGCCTCCTGAGTGAAGCGCACCAATACTGACTGTTAGAACTGTAGAATTGGTAGAATCGTAATCTGAGTCTACACTGATGGCTGAGTGCAAACTTGAAGTCAAAAGTAAAAATATTTTTTAATTGGTATCGGTTGAGAAGTAATATAAAAAATTATCAATGATTTTCCTTGAAAGGAAACCACCTGCCAACCACCTGCCAACCACCTGCCTGTGCTTTCTGTTTTGCTAGAAATCAAACCTGGACATTAAGCAAATGTCCTAAACATTCGCTCTTCCTCAGCCCTAGGACTCAGCTGATTCAAGTTTCTAAGGAGAGTAGTGAGCAGCTTTCAGCAAGAAACCGCACTGTTTTGAAATGGCCCCCTCTAGCGCAGCTGCACATGCTCCACCCACCCCAGTGCAGCTGTTGTCATTCCTCAGAACCTCCAGGGTACAGGTAACATGTTTGACAGAGAATAGCCCAAGAGAAATTATCAGAACTTACAGCTGAATTCAGCAAAGTTGGAGCATAAAAGATTAGTATTTGAAATATCAATTATAAATAAAACTGGGTAAGCAATTATATTAACAATAGCATAAAAACAAAATATTTAGAAATCACTGAGCGGTGGTGACACATGCCTTGAATTTTATATATAAAATAAAAGACATACAGAAGCTTTTCTCTGAACACATAAAATATTACCATCACAATCTAAATAATAATTTCATCTGTTTTTTTGTTCCCCAAAACTGGTAATTTGATTATAACATCCATATGTGAATTCAAGGCACTAAGAATAGCTAAAACAATCTTGATTAAAAAATAAAATTGGGGGACAGAAGAGATGGTTCAGAGGTAAAGAGTACTGGCTACCCTTCCAGAGGGCCCAAGTTTAATTCCCAGCACCCACATGGCAGTTCACAACTGTCTATAACTCCAGTTCCTAGGGATCTTAAACCCTCACATAGACACACACACAGTCAAAATACCAATGCACATAAAATAAAAACAAATCGTTAAAAAGGTAAACATTAACAAACTGCAAAGGGGCAGTAATCTAAGCAGCAGAGAGAGTACTGGCTCAGGAAACACACGACCAGTGGGCAGAATAGGGTTCAGAGCTCCTCAGAGCTGCAGTCCATTGGCTGATCGGATTGCTTAGACTATTCATTCAATAGAGAAAGAATATCTGTTAGCCGAGTGCTGTAGTAGCATGTGTCTTTAATCCCAGCACTCGGATCTCGTTGAGTTCCAGGCCAGCCTGGTCTACATAGTGAGTTCTAGCTACATGGTGAGATCTGATGTGGGATTCCTCTCTGTATGCTGTGATTACCATTAATGAATAAAGAAAACTGGCTTGGCCTGATAGGGTGGAACTTAGTTCGGTGGGGAAATCTAAACTGAATGCTGGGAGAAAGGAGGCAGAGTCAGAGAAAAGCCATGTAGCCCCCACCAGAGACAGACACTGGACAAAACTTTACCCAGTAAGCCACAACCTAGTGACAATACACAGATTAATAGAGATGGGATAGTTTATGATATGAGTTAGCTAGCAATACACTTAAGCTATTGTCCAAACAGTCTTGCAAATAATATGGTTTCTATGTGATTGTTTCGGGGCTGGGTGGCTGGGAGATCCTGTCTCAAACAAACATCCAAAAATCCCAACCAAAAAACAAGCAAATAGAGAGAGAGAAAAAGAGAGAGAGAGAATGAAAAGAATATTTGCTTAACAAATGATATGATTCTGGAGCATCTGGATAACTATAAACAAATTAATACAGTTGTCGCAAATTTAAAAATGAACTCAAAAGTAGTGCTAAACTTTAAATTCCAAGAAGATAACATTGCCATAAATGAATGAAAATGAGGATATAATTGCTCCTAGTTATGGCTGAGGAGAAAGTTTTTACTGTAGATATGAGGGAGAGAACAGCCAGAGGCATCTGGAAGAGTCCAGGTTGAATATGGCCAGTAAAATAGACAGGGCCATGAGAGGCGGTGGAGGAGTGTGAGGGGGCAAAACAAAAGAGGAAGAGAAGAGAGGGCAAGTGGATCAATAGAGGAACCAAGGACCTAGAAACCAAGAGGTCAAGAGAGGGAGGTGTCAACATAGGTGGGTTATATAGAAAAGAGAAGCTGGGGAAAGTGGGTGAAGCTCAGAGGCTGGAGAAGTTTGGAGTGGGACAGGGCACGGAGAAGAGCCAGGCTCTCTAACAGGTGCTACAACACCCAGTGTTGCTCTGATATGGTCATAGGCACCTCAGGTAGCATTTGTTCTGAGTTCCTTTGGGACCAAACAATAAATTTTTGCTTTTTTAGTGGAGTAGGCTTCTTTCCTTCCTTTCTTCCTTCCTTCCTTCCTTCCTTCCTTCCTTCCTTCCTTCCTTCCTTCCTCCCTCCCTCCCTCCCTCCCTTCCTTCCTTTCTTCCTTCCTTCCTTTCTTGATTCTGAGACAGGGTTTCTCTCTGAAGCTTTGGAGTCTATCCTGGAACTTACTCAGTAAACCAAGCTCGCCTTGAATTCACAGAGATCGCCTGCCTCTGCCTCCCAAGTGCTGGGATTAAAGGCGTGCGCCACCACCACCAGGCTCTAGAGTAGGCTTTCTTTGATGTGGAAACAAAGCATAAGTAACAACAGAAAAATAAATTGATAAGTTGGATATAAAAATATTTTTGTGGTCTACTAACAAAAAATGAAAAATGGGAAACTATTTGTAATATGTGGATGATAAAGGGGTTGCAGTTAGACTATATAAAATGTTATAATTCAACCATGAAAAGAACCTAAAGCCTAAAGACAGAAAAAAATCTGAATGAATATTTCTCCAAATAAAGTATGAAACTATGAGAGGAATACAAATCAGAACAGGGCTCTAAGATCTCATACCCACAAGAAAGGTGCGTGTACCTTTGCATCACTGTGACAAATACCTAACAGAAACAGCTTAAAAGGAGAAGACTTCCCTTCTGTTTGTTTATGGTGTCAGAGCTGCCGCCCATCATGGCAGGGAGGCGCGGTGGAACACCTTACACCACAGTGAACAGAAAGGAGGTGAAAGAAGGGTCCCTGGGAAGATAAAGTCCAAGGATACTTCCCTAAGTGATCTACTTCCTGCAACTCAGCCCTGCCTCCTACTGTAACCACCTCCCTGAAATGCCACTCTATTCTGAAACTCTCCATGGGTTAACTCATTGGTTAGTTTAGTGCCCTTGTGATACAACTGTCTTCGGAAATGCCAACCTGATGAGGTGGGCTGCACTAGTCTCTTGGGCTTGTCTTAATCCAACCAAATTGACAATTAAAAGTCACCACCCCAGACGCCTTGGAGAAGAGAAAGGACGTAAGAGTGGAGACTCCAAGTCCCCACACTTTGCTGGGGTGATGGAGTCTAGCACGCCATCTGAAAAATATTGTCAATAGGTTAAACACAGAGTTACCATGTGACCCACAACTTCATACCTAGGTACACGTTTAAAAGTATTGAAGACATGGCCCATGATAAACTGGTTCACTGATGTCCAGAGGAATGTTTTCATAACAGCTGCAAGGTAGAGATAATTTAAACATGCATCAGTTGATGAACTGATTGGCGCAATAGCATACCAGACAATGGACTATTTAACAATCCAAAGTGAAAGAAGCCGGACACAAGAGACTGTAAGCTCCATGGTTCGATTTATTTGACACGACTAGAATAGATCACTCTTTAGAGACAAAAAATAGCAACTTTCCTATAGCCATGGAATTCAAAGAAAGATAGTATGTGATTACTAATGGACTCAGACCTTGTTGGGTTGAAAAAATACTTTTAAAACTGATTGTGGTGATATTTGCATAACTCTGTGAATGTACTAAGAAAAGCATGTTTTATATACTTTAAATGAGGGAGTCATGTGCTATGTGAATCACATCTCAATAATCCTGAAATATATGTTGTATACACTTCTATGTATATTTGGTTTTTATATAATACTCTTAATTATATCACAATATATATTTACTGGTAGAGCTGTATGATGAAATATATATATTTCAGAACTGGGTCTTTTCCTCCTTTTCTCTCAGCTGATCAATAGCTATTCTTTACTACTTAGAAATTTGATAGTGTACCTATTTTTTTTTCTCCACTCCTCCTTCTTTTTCTTTGAGACAGGGTCTTGCTTGTATTATTTGCTAGACTGGAATTCACTATGTAGCCTAAGCTAGCCTTCACCTTTGTGTAAGTCTCCTGCCTCAGCCCACCATCAGAGTGCTAGAATTAGACTCATGTGCTACCATACCCAGATATCGAATGGGTTTTATATAGAAACAAAAATTTTTTAATGTATCTTGAGAAACATGATAACTTCTCTAGTTGATGAGAAGCATATAAGGATGGATGCAAAGAGATTCCACCTACCACACATCCCTCTGTTGCAGATAGGAAGACGCTTTCCTCAGCCTTTCAGTGAAGCATTCCCGAGGTCATGTTTTTGTGCTCCAAACAGAATTCACACCTGGACACAAGCAGAGTGAGCAAGTACTGTAGAAGCATTCCAAGTGGTCAAGTCAGTCAAAGCTAAGTCATCCACCCAGGGAAGAGGGCAGGTCAAGTCAGAAAATGGCTTGGTCTGCCTCTAGCGTCTACCATACAAGGCTTGCTCTACCATGTCTCTTCCTGTTGTCTACCTTCAGGTAGTCTACGGTGGTCTCCTTTTGGGAGCAGGCTCAGACTTTCTTAGAAAATGTCCTTACACACAATTCAGTCTGTGACAATTAGATATATTATATGCAAGAACATGAATAAATGTGTAATTGCCCATAAAGTTGAGAAGTGTACTAGGGGAAAGGTCAACCATACCTTGTAGGTGCTCTTTGGGGAGGAGGGAGTCATGGCAGTTGCTCAGAGCCTACCCAACCTGGTTTGTTATTTCTCCTAGAGTCTTGCCCCTTCTCTTAACTAATCATCATGGCTATATCTTCATACCCAACCACAAACCTTTCTATTTATCTTCTTCAGCATTCTTGTCATTTTAATTCTAATATTTATTTTAGCCATAGGAACTTCTGCAACACTGTAAAATATCTAAGCTAAATCATCCTAAGTTGGGGATGTCAAGAAGACATTAAATTTGACAGGAGATGCATAAAGTGCAAAGCTGGACAGAGAGCTATGAATGAATTCCCAAGTGACTCTAACTGCCGGTTGAGCCTGGAGGCCATGGTGTACTGTATAATACCTCTCAATCACATTGTGAGAATTTCTCAGTTTGACCTGAGCTTCCGGTTGATCGATAATTCTGCTGTCGCAATACAATGTGAGAAGCAAGAAGAAGGCACTAGCAGCAGGAGGGTGAGAGTAGCCCAGGGGAAATGAAGGGTGAAAGGAAAGGAAGCAAGGATTCAAAGCAGCAGATGTGAGGGAGTGAGATGGGAGAGAAGGAAGCTGTGGTCAGAGGCTGGTAACAGCTGGACCTCATGATCAAAGCAGTTATGGTAGCAACCAGCTCCAAGATGACTCTGAGTGGGTTGTTGATGTGTGGGTTCTACACACCCTGAATCTGCTTCCTCGGAGCTTCTAGACATTGAGGTAGTTTTTAGGGTGTTTTGTTGTTTGTTTGTTTTTATCATGTCCTGCCCAATTCCACCTCCTAAATTTCTATCAAGTTCATCTCAGCTTCACTGTCCCCACCCCAGCGTGAGTTACCGCGTTCTCTCATTCTCATGACTGAATGCTCCTAGAAAACCTCAACAGTCTATGAGTCTTATGTCCTTTTTTTTATTTTTGGTTTTTTTATGCCAGGGTTTCTCTGTGCAATAGTCCTAGCTGTCCTGGAACTTGCTCTTGTAGATCAGGCTGACCTTGAACTCGGAGGTCTGCCTTCCTCTGCCTCCTGAGTACTGGGAGTAAAGGCATCCGCCACCATGGCCCCGCAAGCCAGGTTAACCTAATGTCTTATTTATTGCACTACTCCCTTCATTTTCAACACAGTTGTGGGGGAGGGAATAATAGGAACAGAGAGGAGGACATCAGAGTAAGGAAGAGACCTGCAGATGCAGCAACAGACAGTCGGAATCTCATTGCTCTGAAGGTTGAACCTAGCCCTGGTTCCACAGCAGTGTGCTGACTACCCGAGGATGCTGCTCAAAGCCTGCCTAGAGTTCCCTATTATGCTTCGAATACAGCCTGCTACCAATCTCTCGGTCTTTGGAATGGGTCTCTTGCGTGCCCCTCCAGGCTGTTCTTGTTCTCGTAGCTCTGGTTCATCCCAGTGGAAGAGATGTACATTCTGTCTCCTTTCACTTCCTCAGCTTCATCCCCTGTGACTGGCTTCTTTCCACCCCAGTCTGTTAGACTCCTGATAGAGCTTCTCAGAACACACTGCCCTTTCTCTTAAGGGCGTTTACTCAATTTGTCATTCCACAGTTACTCATCAATAGTTTAACATCTAAGCCAAGTGTCTTGGTTAAGATTTCTATTGCTGTGATAAAATGCTATGACCAAGACCTGGGGAGAAAAGGGTTTATTTCATCTTACAGCTGGATGATGTTCTCTATCACCAGGGAGGTCAGGGCAGGAACTCAAGGCAGGAACCTGGAGTGACGGGTGCTGCTCACTCACCTGGTCTTCGGGGCGCTCAGCCTGCTTTCTCACAGCATTCAGAACTAACAGTCCAGGGTGACACTGTCCACAGTCATCTGGGCCTCCCACAACTATCACCAATCAATGAAATGTACCGCAGGCCTATATGGTGCGGACGTTTTCTCAGTGAGGTTTCCTCTTCTCGAAAGGCTCTAACTTACAGGACTTCTTTGTGTGACAGCACTTGGCAACCCCTCCACCTCCTGACAACTCAGTGTAAGAACCCCACATGCTCCTGTTTATCATTGTGGACTTAAGTCCTAGAATGTGCCCAGAGTACAAGGGGCTAAATAAGCATCTACACTGGCTCTACTTCAGATGCCATAGCCAGACTGGAGAGTTTTGAAGATTTTCCTCTTTCTGGTCTATTCACCTTCCAAACTCTAATAGTCACTCCTGCCAGGCCAGTCTCTCAGATCTGAACACTCTCCCTGGACACAGCTGGCACCGTGTTCTCAGTTGGTCTTCTGATAGGCCCCTTTGCACCAACAAGGCAGAGTGCTGAGTGTGTATGTACACCAGCACTGTGTGGACACCGCGTACAAACAACAGCGCTCACACAAACAACAGCGCTCACTCCTCACTTGTTCCGTGAGTGGGCACAAGGTTGGTGAGACTAAAAGTGCACTTGGAGTAGGGCTTGTAGGAGACCCAGGTGCTTGTCAGCTTTTGATACCGAACCCAGGCAAATCAGCGTACAGAGAGAGGTTGGTTGTGTTTTGTAGTTTTGAAGATTTTGACCCATGGTTTTGTTACTGTGGTGAAATCTTAATGGTCACTGAAGGTGGGAAAAGCTGCGCATTGCCTGACCAGGACAGGACACTTTCCAGGATATGAAAAGGAAAGAGCACAGCCCTGGGATTCAAGGAGCTCCTAGCAGACTCTATCACTTCCCCCATAAAGGGGCTTTTGGGGAACATGTACTATAAACTACAGCAATATCTATACATGTTTTATTAGTTTGAAATATGTTTTCCTGTGCGTGGCAGAAAAGCCCAAAACATAGCAATAATGGCTTAAGTAAATTATATATCCTTTGTGGTCTCTCTCGCCTTAAGACCAGAAAACTGTGCCTGGAGTTAGGTAACTGGTCATTAAGGGCAAAACATATATAATTTTCTTCCTTAGTTTGTAACTTCCACCTTGAGGTCCAAGAGGCCTACCTGGACTCCAGTAACCCTCACCCTGTCAAGCATGGCCATGCCATCTTGTAAAGCTCCTGTGTTGGTTAAACAATGACAATTTCTGAAACTAAAGCAGCTTGGTTCCCAGAACTGAAGCAACTTGTTCTTCTAGATTCTTGCCCTGCCTGCCCTATATACCCTGCAAGAGCCAGCCGCCAGAGACGGTATCAGTCACCTCTGGCAGTCTCACCTATCATTTACCACATCTCCCTAACTACACTTAGCAATGACCAAGCACAGGCCCCCAAAGGAAAATTATAGTAGCTTTCTCACATCCCCTTTCTTCATTGTAACTACACCAAACCATAGGCGGATCCAGGACTGGACAGCCAGTCTGCTAAGCCTGTGAGGTCACGAATAGCTTGTCTTTTGTCTTGCCTTCTCACTGGCCTTACAGTTCCTGCTTAACTAACAGGAAGGAGAGGCGCAGGGAAAGCCTGAGAGAAGCCACAGCTGGTCTACTTAGCGCTCACCGGCAGGGACCCTGTCACATGATTTCACCTCCCTCCCAAAGAGGCTGGGAAATGTAGTCTGAGTATTGTTTTAAAATTTTGTTGTTGATTACTTTTTATTTCTGATGTGCACTGTTATTTTCCTTGCAAATATGTCTGTGTGAAGATGATGGATCCCCTGGAACTGGAGTTATAGACAATTGTGAGCTGCCGTGGGTTGCTGGGAACTGAGCCTGAGTCCTCCAGAAAAGCAGCCAGTGCTCTTAGCCTCTGAGTCCTCTCTAGCCTGAAGTCTGTGTTTTTGACAGCTATGAACCCAAGGATTATTTGTATTTATTATTTATTTATTTTTGATACAGGATTTAATAGCCCAAGGTTTTTGGTTTGTTTTCCTCTTACAAGAAAAAAAAAAAGAAGAAGAAGAAGAATGGATGTTCTGGGAAAATAATCAGCATTTGTTAGTCCCTCATCAAGCCTCTATCACTAGACTTTTCTGCTACGTGCAGAAACCTGACTTTCAAAATTATCTACAGCTCAGCTACATCCTACATAATTGTCCAGCCCTGGCCACATTAAACCTTTGTCACACTGGGTCCTTTATCACACTGTCTCTCAGATAAATCAAGATCACCTCTTCTCCTCCACAAAGGTTTGTTTGACTGTGGCAGTTGGCTTTGTCCTTGAAATCCAGTTATAGGCTAGAGCTGGTGGAACACACCTTTACTCCAGCTGCAAATGCTAGATAGCCACAGGCATAGGCATTTCATTAGCCCCTGTGTTGGTGCTCTTTCCCCCATTGAGTGGGAGAAGTGGATCTAGATACATAGCAAACACCTACTAAGCACTAACTGGTTAACGTGTAAAGCAGACCTGCCTCTTCTAGTGCTTGTTGGTTTGCTTGTCCAGGAAATCCTGTCAACACAAGTTAGTCCACACTGTGGGACCTCTACACTCCCTCTCCTATGGAAACACACTCATCTAACAATATTTATCGAGTGCTTCTTACACGCTCCATGAAAGAGGCTTCTTCTTCTAGGTTAGTTATACGCCTCTCGCTTGGTTCCACTTTGTGAAGTGACAGCCTTATCCACACTGGGATCACTTAGGATTTTTACACTGCAGTCCTGGCCCAGGCAATCTGCAGTACAGCCAGAAGTTCTACATGTCCACGCTCCCCAGGTGACTCCACGAGGGAAGACAAAAATAGTAATGTCACATCACCCACCTCTGATCACAGG